GGGGACAGCCTCTTGTGGCTTGCGGGATAGCTGTGATGAGACTTCGGAAGGAGGCACACAAGACGAGATGATGAGTTTCCGATTGACGTATGGCCGCAGAGATGCGGAAAGAGCCTGCGCACAGAAGGCAAGAGACTCGGACGCGTCCGATTTTCAGGTGATAAAATGAACCCATTGAAGAAAAGTTTTGCACTCGTAGGGTGCGCAAAACCCCTGACAGCGCAATACTGTCTGCAGTAGTTGATATCAGAAAAGGCATTCTGTTATGCTGCACAGTTTATGGTTTTCTATGCGATCAATGAAGGTTGCGTTTCTCAGCGCTCCAATACAAATGTCCCTGCTGCAAATCTACAGATATTACAATCGTAAAGCGAGGAGCTACGGTCTATTCATGAGGTCAAAGGGACAAGTTTTGGTCTTCCAAATGTCACCTGCACCAAACTATTCTTGAAGCCATCTCTAACTCGCATTGATATTTCCTATGTATGAGTTTACTTGGATCCACTAGGGAAAGTTAATTGACAACATAAGGACACGGTCAAGCGTCAAACGGACCACTATATCGTAGTCGCCAATTTCCCAAACATTAGAAACCATCTGTTTCCCGACCAGCCTTGGGAACGTGTACCAACCTGTGGCGCCATTTTAAAGCGTTCCAGATAGATTCTAAGAATATTTCGAGTCAGCTTGAGTTGCAGACTTGAGGTGCTACCACACTGTCCACAGTGTTCATCCATTATCAAAAGCCTTTGTGCAAATTTTGTTACAGTCAGCATAGGAAGCTTTCCTGTATGTTGAAAAAGGGCATCCATCTGACATGAATATGGATCCAAGCAGAAAGCAATATATGTCCCCATCACAGCGGAAATGCGCAAAAAATTGGTAGCAGGACACTGGAAGCATTGAAAATGATGTATTTTTCCACGTGCTTGCATTGGAGGAATCGCCGCTTTGAGACAACCAAGCAAAACCTTGTTTTCAACGCGAGCACTAAACTACTTACTTCACACGTTTGCGGCAGGTGGAGAAGCCTTCCACGCCGCAGCGCACCGACACCAATCGGGCGATTTCCCCGCCTGTTTTGCAGTCGATGTCTTCTTGTCCCTCAAATAGTGCATCGAAATCAGACACTGTCAATCCAGTGCCTTCTGAAACCCGTGAAGAGGCCTTGGAAGAATGGAATGCCGCAAACGATCAAAGAATAGCCGAGCTTAATGTCGCACTGAGGCAATCTTCTTCAAACCTGGTGGGTCCCCTTGAGTGAAGCAACATGTGAAACTTGTTTCAGCTTGGGCAACTCCAAGGATAACTACATGCAGGCAAGGCACATTAGAATTATCTTGATACAGACAGTGCACACCCCAAATCGTGGCTGGATATTGGTTCCTGGACAAAAAATTGATTGATTCATGGAAACTTCTGCTTTATTGCATACAAAATACGTTCTCTTTTACAATTGTTTATGTATGTTTTAGAAAGGACATGCACTCCTTATGGTATCCAATTCACTGCGTATTTCGTAGGCACTTACCAATCGATGCCGATTGAATTTTGCTTGAGAAATTGAGACGCATTGTTTTACCATGTTTTGTGTACTGGTTTGCCGCAGTGCCGGCCGTCAGACCCTCCAGATTTCATGCCCCATTTCATGGCATGCGATGTTTCAAGTATTGAGCAAACCGTGAAAGAGGAGCTGGACATTCAAGATCACAAATCGTGCTTGAGCTGGTTTCGACCTTCATTGAATAACCAAAAACTGCGCAGCCAGAAGATTCGCTTGCTGTGCCTCGCGAGAACCCCGTTCAGTGAAGAGGAATACCACCACTTGGCGCTCCTTCAGGCGATACACGCGCTGTTCATAGGTATTGTTGGTAATTGTGCCTTCCCTTCAAGCTGGATCAGGACGTGGACAAAACCTTGATGCGAGCACATAAAAAGCCTAAAAAACTTGCACAAAACACAAGATGTGACTAATCATTGCTTCAAATGGTTGTCAATGCATTATTCTCGTGGTGAATATTTGGGCTACCACAAGCACAGAAGGGTGTTCATGATGTTTAAAGACAAAGGCAGAATATTGGCGATGGACGAAATTTGAATCAATGGGGAAGCTGCTTCTGTCCAAACAGTTTTTGGCCAAACATAAACGCGAATGTCCTCATAAAGAGTACCATTATCGCTATTTAGTTTTCCCGGCGGCAAGCCAAAAGTCCATCAAATCATTCCTGCTGGCTCGCTGATTTAAATACTGTTAGTCTTCCTCATGATTAAGTTGGATCGTTATTTAAGTACAGAATTTATTTCGGAGATTGTTTTGAACCTTCCAGGGCTGCCTGCAAACCCTCCAAGATATGGAAAGCACTGGATGGATTTGGGATTTCAGCAGGAGGACCCTGCCGCCGATCTCCGCGGATCCGGAATTCTTGGCCTGCTGATGCTCTACAGCTTCCACCGCCACAACCACCGAAACGCCAGGATGCTGTACCGCACGTCGCGGGACCCTCGCTATGAGTTCCCACTAGCAACTGTGTCCATCAACGCGGCCGTGTGGACCATAGCCGCCATCCGAAAAGGCAGCCTCACAAGGGACGCCAATGATCGCGGAGATCTCATTGAGTCGGCACAATTGTTCCACGTGGGCCTGATGTACGACTTTTACAGATCTTGGAAAGTCGGCAAGGCGACCATGGCTGTGGCGGGACACATAATGAAAAATGTCCAAGAATACGCCACGTTGTATCCGCTTGAAGTCATAGAACTGGCAAAGCTCCCCGACTTAGGAATGGTGGAGGACATCCCTCGCACTGCAGAGGGATTTAGATGCTGTTGCAGTCCTGCGCCCCTCTAGAGAGGCGTTGGAGCAGGGGCGAAGAAACAATACAGTGGCCAGTTCTAACTTTTACTTTAAAGGAAACCGCAACGCAGGTGGGAAAAGAGCGTGTTACAATATCCGAGCGCCTTTTATCAATCTGCTTCCGGGAAAATTAGATTATCTCTGGGTACTTTTGAATTCCAAATGGGTTGCCATGGTGGTGTTTGTCAATGCGCTGGAACTGCGTGTTGGGAAGTGATGGATTGGGGCGAAGTGAGCGCGCGTGGTGTTGTCTTAGGCCCCAAGCTTCTGCGGCAGATGTAGGTTCAGAGACCTTGTGTGTAAATAAATGCGAATGGGGGGCCATGAGTGCAGCTTCTTGGGGTGCTGCGCTCGGGCGAATGTGAGACACAGCAAGTGGAGAATTATTTGGGCGATAGAACCCGTTTCCAAGAAATCCCGGCAGCCGCAGCAACAATTCACCAAAACTGCTTTGAATTGCGTTACTTATCTATTGCTTATCTATTACACGAAGTAAAATGCATGCGTTACCACTGCAAAATTGCGCTCTGGTTTTTAGAAGTGATTCAATCATGGTTTCAGCGCGGGATCCATTAATTATGCAATGAAACCGCACTGGGCACGAAGTTTAGGATTCGCTGAATAGATGAGCGGATTGCGTTAGTCACCCAGTCGCGTGGAGTTTGAGAAGCAGCAGCTAGTCTAGATTGTTCTTCCTAAGTGGCAACAACTGTCAACGAAGGTCGTTCTGGCGGGTGAAATGCCTGCCTGTTAAGCACTGCAGTGGCTCAATTTTCATTCAGTGAGTGGACAGCATTCATTTTGAACAAATTGTTTGATTGCTTGAAAACGTTAACCTGGCTACAAATGTTTCACTGATTCGTCGGAGAATGCTGTTGCAACGAGGAACGCTCCCTTCCATATTGCCGTCCTTCGCAAAAAATTGTTCCTTCAATTGGCCAAACAAGACTTGCCGCCTTGTGAACTACTCTCAAGCAAGATCTCAATTTGGAAATTTGTGGCAGGGATTCGTGAATGCGAGCTCTGTGATCGAATAAAGTCGAGAACAACGTGGATAGTGCAAAGAATTGTAAGTAGTGTAATGGAAGAGACAAAGGTGCAACTTTTCTGCCACCGGTTCTGTGTGCATGACGCAAAGGCTTTGCTCTAGACGTCGATCTGGCGAACTCGAGACTCGCAAGTGGCATAAGATACACGTATATTTGGCAGAGACACTCCACGCTGGCTTTGTTCACATTCCCTACACTGACAGTGCATTGGCATATTTTGCCGGCTGTACAAACCATAAGCATCCATCCTCAGGGCGAACACAGCTTGCAATGATAAGCCTATGGCAGCAACTTGATCTATTGCTGGCGCGAACGCGACTTGGACATCCTTGGCTTGGGGGAAACTGGTCATTCAACACATTTTATTTTATTTCATGAAACGTGCTCAATTGCTGAAAAAAGCTCATGTCTTGGCAGCGTGAACTGCTTTTTAAAAATGGACGAAATCGTGTATTATCAATGGAGCCATTTTCAAACAAGGTGAATAGTTGTATCTATCCACATGGTGACCAGTGGGATAATCAGATTATTATTGTCTAATCGGATCGTCATGGTCTGGTCATCTCGCTGGTCACCGTGATATGATCACTATTTTTATCTACGGCGGTTCAATCACACAGAATTTGCGAATTCTTGCGCTGTGATGCATAGGGACTCGGTGGCGAGAATATGGCAATATCTCGGGTCTCATGGAACAAATCATGGACGTTGCCTCTGCTCAATCGAAACAGGGAATTGATGAACTGCTAACCTTGATGTGGAAGATTTCTTGGTGGTGGTGATCACCATTTATCACACTTATTGTGCCGATTGATCGATTAATTGAAAATGGTGATCACATCATTGCCTGGAAGCCTCCCAGGTTCACTCCCCACCCGCCAGCAGCCTCCTGCAGCGCGAACAGCCCAGGAACGGGGCGCTTGTGGGTGCGGCAAGGCGCCTCTCCGCGAGCCGCCTCTCGGCGCCAACTCAGACAGTGCGAAGGCAGCGGGGCTGGAGATCCCGGCCGCTAAGGCAGCCGTGCGCCGCGGCCCCGTTCACGGATCGCGCCAAAGCGGGGTCGGACAGCGCCCTCGCAACCCCGCGTGCACCGGGGCATGTCTGTGATCGGTGCCGCTCGGCGCAGCCCGATCGGTCCCCTGTTGCGCCTAGCAGTGCTCCTTCTGGCCTCGTCGCAATTCGAGGCCGCGGAAGCGGCAGAGGAAGATGGCTTCGTCAAGGGCGCCATCCACACCATCTTTTCCACCGACTGCAAGCCTTACTTCAGTTTCCAGACCATGGCCCTGGTGCACAGCTTCGCAAGGGCGGGGCAGCCTGGTAAGCTGACCAGAATCGCGAGCTGCACGCGAGAGGACATCGCCCGTATGAACCCGGAGGACAGGAACGCCGTGCAGACACACTTTTCTGAGTCTTGGGACGTGCACCACTTCACGCGCGACGAGTACCCGCCGTACAACAGGCCGACGGGGGTAATGGACTGGCTGGCGAAGGTAAACCCGAGGGAGGAGTGGATCCTGATGGTCGATCCGGACATGCTGTTCAGGCGCCCTGTGACTCCGGGGGCGCTGGGCTTGACGGATGGCTGGTCGGCGGGCTGGTATTACAACTATCTGATGGGCACGGAAAACGAGTTGGCAATGACACACGTGCCGGATGTGGCACCCAGGAATGACACTTACGGGGGCCCTGTTGGCAGGAGGGCGGACAGGACGGGCCACTACTTTCTCTTGCGGAATGCCGACCTGAGAAGGATCGCTCCCTTTTGGCTGAGTTTCACGGAGGACGTCCGTTTCAACAAGGACGCCTGGAGGCTGACGGGCGACTCGTACGCCAAGGAGGGCGAGAAGCCCTGGATATCTGAAATGTACGGCTACGCGTTTGCCGCGGCGCGCAGTGGGGTGTGGCACAAACTGGACACGGAGGTGCAGGCGTATCCCTCGTACGCGGTGTGGGACTCGGTCAAGCTGATACATTATGGCCTGGACCACGCAGTGCCTGGCTACAGCTTCGACAAGCATAATCACCTGTCCTTCAAGGCCTACAAATGCCCGCCATGGAACATGGCGAGGGGCGAACGGGATGAGGCAGATGATGCAGGGCTGTTTCCCCACCCACCGCACCCTTCGGAGCTCACCACTGCAAACAGGCCGCAGGAGTACTATGGGGCATTGTTGGTAATTGAATTTGTCAACAGCATCAATGGTGCGCTGTGCAAAAGGCACAAGAAGATGTGCCCAGCATCTGCGCAGCTGTCGGCGGAGTGTGCGAAGGTGGCACAGATTCAAAAGGAGCTTGATGCAGAATACGCCGTCCTGGATGTCCCAGACGGTGGGGTTTGTGTCGATCAGCTGGAACAAGACAAATGTTTGGAACACAAGGCCAAGGGGAACTGTGAGGGAGAATGGCTCACCATGGGTTCAAGCTGCAGAAAAACCTGCAGAAGGTGCTTTTCTGATCTGTTGGACAGCCCTCAGAGTCAGTCTGAGGAGGCTGCTGTGGAGAAAGGAGCAATGGGTGATGCAGTGACAGAGGGGCAGGAGGGAAAGGTTGCGGAGGTTGAGGTTGAAGAAACGGTGGTGGACCCATCCGCTGGGGCGAGGAACCAGGAAGAAAAGAAGAGTGAGGATGAAGAAGGGGAGAACATGGAGGAGAGCAGTCCTGTTCCTGCAGGGAGGAAGGAGATGAGCGATGCTGAGCGGAAGAGGGATCGCTGCCAGAAGATGGTAGGTTTATGGAATCGGCCGCCACTGGAGTTGTTAAGTGGGATTGATCATTCCTGATAGCCCATCCAGAATCCATGGCAATGTTGATATCTTCAGGTTCTTTTGTCACTCCTGAGTTTGATGTTTTCATTGTCACTGAATTTGTTTAAACCACAGGTAGAGATAGGGTGGATGCATGCGTGCAGATGTGAAATAGCTGTGAAGAGTCAAATGTGCTTTGTGTCTGCATCAGACTGCTACAAGTTTTGCTGATTGAGTCGTTCCTGAATGGGCCACATTGGTGTCTTGATGCTGTACTGCTGTTTGTCTGTGGGGTTTGGTTCAGATAGGCAGGTGGCAAGAATGGCCAACTGCAATATGCTGCAACTGCAAGAACAGAAAAGCCTTGCAGGAATTCAGCTGACATTGGATGCCAGCTCCAATCTTGCTCTGTTACCTGCTTTCCTCTCTTGATTGCTCGTTGTCGTGGGGTCTGTTTTGTGCTGGGGAGCTCACCCTTGATGACCGAGCCACACTGTTCCGTTTTTGATTTACAAGTCATATATGGATTCCGACGGGCAAATGCTGAAACAGCTGCTCAAGATGTTGGCCCTTTTTGCACCACCTGTCGTTCCAGAAACAGAAACAAGAGGGCTTGGTACCTAATTTGGTTAGCTTGATGGTATGGCTAATCGGTTAGTGTCATCATTGCAATGTGCTACGGACAGCAGGCATTCGACAGTTCCCTAGGGCTGATAGTATGTTTGTGCACTTGTTCCCACAGGGCATCGAGAAGTGGCTGGGCGACGATGACTGCAGAGACCTCATAGCAGAAGGCGTGCTGATGAACTTCACGGATGTGGAAGCCCATTCTCATGACGCAATGGCGCTCCTACCTCCACTAGGTACAGGGAGGGCAGATGATGTGCACAGTCCGAGTCACAGCCCGAGTCAAATAACAGACAAGCACCCTGACGGGAAGGTAGGCCGGCTGGTGTGGACCTCCCAGCAGGGCGGCCAGGGGAGCCTTGGTCGGTATGGGATCGCCCTTTGGTTGTTTCTTGTTGGCTTGCTGGCGTATGGCGTGTGGTCTTCGTCAAAACACGGCCGTGTGCGTCGCCGGGTGCCCAAGAGAAGGACGCCTCGTTGACAGCAAATAGATTGGTGGACGGGCCCCACCATATTCTTCGACTGGACATGTTCTGGACTGGGAGAATTTGTTGTCGACCTCAGCCTGCGAGTCTTCTGGTCCGCGGGATCATGAGGCAATGGCTCTTGGGGTCCAGGGGTGTGGAGTGCTCGGCATGCTTGTAATCGAACAAAGAGAGTATTCAGGTGAGGTGACAACGTTTCTTGTAATTCCTGGGCAATGTGTTTGTGTGTGGGGCGCACTGGAGGGAACCCTTATCGGACTCGCTAGTTTGTGGCATGGTCGCAAGAAAAGGACTGTGGACTCCGCACGTGGAGCTCATGTGCGGGCATGGCTGGGCCCAAAAAATGTGAGCCCTCCCGTATCACAAATTTGCGTAGAGGACGTCGGCGTCAAAAAAAGCGCAATGCCTGGGGCTGCCACACAACATATATTCGCAACGATGCAACTCAGAGGGAGCTCTACAAAAGCATTCTTCCGTTCATCCCAATGGCTGATTTGTTACGTTCAGTGAGTGTTCAGCACGAGTGCCACACGCAAAATGTCCTTAAGATTGTCAACTGGGAGTTTGTGAGCCCTGAGTGGTGGATCGACGGACCAACGGCGATGGAAAAAGGGCCCAAGAACCTAAGTACAAGCCACGACTCAGTGACCGTCCCCGGGGTATCACCCCCGCATTGATGGATTACCAATGCACGCCATGCACGTAAAACGGCCATGGCCAATTGCAGCCCAAGACAATGGCGTGGTGTGCACCCTACGGCTGCAGACAATCGAAGGAGTCTGGCCATTCTGTGGTCCCAGCAGCACACACCAATGGCTAAGTGCCAACCGGCAGCCACAGAGGTACTGCCATGGATGAGGTCCATGTATCTGGACTCCAACAGAAGTGTGCCAAGTCCCTCTGCCATGTCCAGCGCTCTTGCGCCGCTCAGATGGGCTCACAGAGACTGGCATCGTCATCTGTCCAGCTTGCGTGCCCATTTCTGCTGCTCAGGGCCAGGGCTCAGACAAAACGCAGTTGTGCCTGAGCGGGATCGTATCTGAATGCCGGACTATGATGAACAGTGAACACAGCCCACGAAGATGTGCCTGTCCGCCTGCCCGGAGCTGCACTGTGAGGGATACAGCGAGCGGGGCTGCTAAGCATGCACTGCATCCCATCTGGGCTGGCAGTTGGGGGTGCCACAGCCTCTGGAGCAGAGCCATAGATGACGCTGCCACTTCCTTGCGTGAGGGATACGTGAATTGGAAGAGTGTGCCCCCGACACAACCGCGCTTGTCACAGACAGCGTCGATTGTGTCTGCCGCGCCCTGCAGAGATCAAGCTCCCCCCGCAGACCCACGTTCACCCCGGATGACCAGGGCGTCGTCAAGGTCTGCCAGGGCACAAAAACCTTAACGGTTGGGTATCGACAGATATGAAAAAATGCAGTGAAGCACATATGATTGGGATGGTCTCACCACCGCGGCAGCGAGAGTGGCTCATGGCAAATGAGGGGTGTCAGACGGACCCAAGGATGAATGATAACCATGCAACCGGCTCCATGGCCAACTATAATGCATGGCAATCACAACCTCTCCGAATCGCTCAATGGTGCAATTGAAACAGAACTATCTCACAGGAAAGGATCAACTAAGTACCTGGGGATCAGACAGGCAAGTCTTGAACGTGATGGCCCAACAGAGGGTTACACATTGCCGAGTTAGCACTTGATGTCACTTGCCTACTCTGCAATCCCCCAGATCCTAGCAGCCATATTGCCCACACAGTATTGCGGAATTGTGTGGATGTGCGAACTCACTCATTGGGAACATGTCTTCCAGTTTTTGGGGTGATTCTTGTGGAGGACATCTCTGACCTGCTGCCATACTCACCAGCAAGTTGAATTCATTGGGATGGCAGACAAACCGGCAAGATGGCAGGGATGGAGGCACTGGTGCTGAAACAGTGACATGGGAGTACAGCAGATCTTAAAGGTTTCTGCCCCTTGGCTGCACAAGTCCCTCTTGCAGTTTCTGTCCTGTTTTGGTTGGTGTGCTGATGTGCTCATCATTGTGCAAGATAGGAAAGACACAACCACCCCTGATAAGATTGTATTGTCTTCAATACGTCAAAACTGCATGGAAATTTCACAGCAAGTAGTGGACATGTACTGCACACATTGGGCAAGCAATGACCATAAAACGCAATTAAGCAAAATAATAAGCTCTTCAACAGCCCAGTTACTGCTGTGCGAAAATGGTATGGTACCACCATACACACCAAGCCAACTGTGCTGCGGCGTGCAATACCTTCAGGTGCTCGTGTTGGGACCTCACCGGCGTCATTGAGCGCCTGCACGGCATTGAGGCTTGCCATTATGGCAGAAAATTTCAGAGCATTGTCATAAGCAGACGCTGTCCTCTCTTGGAAACCACTGGTGGTGCTGGGCTTCTGCAATATAGAAAGCAAAGGCAATGAACATATGCAGCACTGAGCACGTGCAACATTGGCACTCTTTGCCAGGCCTGCTTTGACCCGTTCCATTATCCAAGGCCACACCAAATGATGAACATCCTTGATCCTTGAAAAATGCCATTGTTCATGCTAGGATCTGTTGAAGGACCAAAGAGGAGATCAATCGAACAATGGAACAATAGCAATTCACATACCCATTCATGTGCATAGGTTGTCATCCCCTTCTTGCCTTTTAGAATGCTGTCCTCAACAGAAGCCAAACAGCATTATCGCTGCTTCCAGGCACATAAATCACAGATGCTTAGACTGTACAGTCACCCAGGGAATCATCCACAGAAGTTGTGTGTCTGCCCCAAAAGGCCTGCTAGCATGAGTGGTTTGGAGAGGATGTAACAAACAGATTGACTGAATCTTGAGGAAAGTGGAGAATCCATGACAGTGATTGTTGGAATTCCAATAGATTCCCTGGGTATCAGCTGAGGGGTTTTGGCATGGACAAGGCCAAAGCAAGTGACACTCGCTATTCCATCTGTGGGTATCCAATGTGACACGTTGCATGCTTTCCACAAGATGGACTCACACAAACCCAATCTGAAGGAGATGAATATTCAAAACGCAGAGATTAGGTGGCAATCTAGACATTCTTCAGTGAAGAGAATGTCGGTGGGTACATTGCTGTCAACCAAAAACAAAAACACTGGCCACATGTTTTTCAAGATATATGTTTACATACAATTCGTGCTGGTTTTGGGCCACCATAGTCCTCCATTCAACAAACCTTAAAATAAATTGCTGCTGATGCCCAGTCCGCGGCTTTGCATGCAAGATCCGTCACCCTGGGAGCGTGGATGCCCATTATGTCCCAATCTGGCCTGGACACAGGTGTTCTTGGATTCTGTATGGAATCAAGCCCACATCCAGACAATTGCAGTTACACTTCCACGCATACATTGAGTACATCACGAACAATTGCAAGGATTTCCTCAACAGCTTGCTACATAGCATGACAGGAGACGACCGTCACGCGAAAACAATATGGCTCTGGAAAAGGATGATCCCGATAATCAATCCATGACATTTCTGCATCCAACAAACGCCAATTTGTCTTCTTACAGGAGCTGACAGTCACAATTTCCGAGTTAGGAGCGACTGTTTTGATTCCTAAATTATGTTACAGACAGCAGCGCCAGCCTCTGCTTTCTAAACATTGCGAATTTCGCCAAGTCATGCAAGCAGGCAGTCGTCCTTTGCTCCAGATAAATCTCTAGCTCACAGTGCTGCACAAGGGGTGCAGCAATGCAATAGACAAGTGCATCAATTCAGCAGGTACAAACAGGCACACTGTGCGTACACAATAGGTACTTTGTGCAGCGTTGGAGCCCCAGATACCAATGGGGTCTCAAGTCACTGGATTTTCCAGTCATCAGCTCTCAAAACAGCTTCCCACTGCCCTGAAATACACATCTGACACAATGAGGGCCCCTTATATTTAACATTTGTTTTCTGGAAGTCCACCACTGAACAGGTGCAATGCAATCAACAATTCTGTATCACCATCAAGGGACATCACAGCAAGTGCACCCTCCTGTAGCAGGCACCTTTGCTGATTGCAAACAATCACAAATCATGATCACTCACAGTTCGTCACAAAGTGAAACTGCCAATATAGATGGACTACGACCAGCTCCATACACAAACTCACTTTTGCGATCTTGAACATATTCTTGACACGGGTCTTCAACTCCATTGTCAATGTTTCCCTGTCAATGCGAGGTTCCTGCCAATTTTGCCCTCAACAACGAAAGAAGCATTCTGTCAGAACCCCCCAGTCTAAGAAACCCACAGTGCATGAAGCAGAATGAACAGTTGATAGATCCAAAAATAGGATTCTGTTGAACAATCTTTGGACCACTGACTATTGCAAAACAATCTGTGCATGTACCTTTTCCTTGCTTGCCAATCTCTCGAGAACTTGTTCTCCGATTCCTGGCCAAATCCTCTGAAGTTTTCCGCCTCTTGTTTCCACCCAATTTTTTCAGTGCCTTCTGGCTCTTACTTGACCTGCAAGATATACAAACGCACCAATTCAAAGAGTATAATTTTGTCATGGAAGCTCGGTACTGCTATTGAAAAGGCCATGACGATGGAAGGAACAAACAGCTACGCAAGCAGGAACTCCTGCCAATCAGCAGTAGCATTGGGTGAATGTACGCACAACATACAATATTGAGCAAATGTGTGCCCACCATAAACAAAGCCATTGCGAACACTGAGCTGCTGACGTGAAGCATGCCCTGTGACTTCAGAATATCAGCAAGATTCTCACCTTTTTGGTTCTTTCATTCCCGGTGACGACGTTGCTTCGCCATGTCCCATGTCAACTTCTCCATAATCTTCTTCATGATAGCTCTGTTGCAGTGTACGTATTGAGAATAATTTCCAAAATGGTAAGGCTTGAAGACTTTACAGGGCTGCAAGAAGTGTACTGTGCAAGCTACTTTCTAATTATTTTGTCTCCAGTGTAAGGAAACTGCCTCAAGAGAACCTTCACAAGGGCTTGCAAAGGCTGCATTTTCTAGTGACCTGATTGAGACATACTTCTGGCAAAAGGCACCAAAAAAAAGGATTTCTCGCAAGGAACAACGACAGCCATTGCAAAGATCCACACAACTGGGCCTCATGCAGTCTACACAGTCACTACAGTTGTGTGCATGAAGACAGGCAAGGCCCACACACAGAACAGTACTATAGACAACAGCTGCCTGGTCACCTCTCAATCAAAGAACAACCTCAACTGCTTTACATCTTCCAAACGTCAGGACTCTGAACAGTACAAGCTTGCTCCACTCTTTGCCCTCAATAGCTTTTTTGGCATCTTGTGCATGATTTGTAAACATCAACAACTGGGAAGACCAGTGCCCCATCGAATCCCAACAGTGCTACCCATAAGCATCCTTCTGGCATGCAGACAGACAAGGCCCAGAAAACGATGACACTGTACGGCTGAAAACTCAACCAACTGAAGCACAGCACACAAAGGGGCTGGGGTTGTCTGGTCAACAAGTTACCGCATGTGGCTCTTCTAAGACAATGTCCCTTGTACAGACTATGGGCAACAGCTGCTAGCAGCAATTTGCTGCTCTCAAATATATACCGGCAGATGTTTCGTCAGCATGCAGTCCCATCGTGCACTGCATGCGTGCCACTCTCTGCAATGGAGACTGGCAAATGATACATAAGGAATTCAACACTTGGCTGGCAACTGACAGCCATTATCCCACTTACCTCCTCTGAGTCACTACAAGAATTGCGTGTTGGGTCTGGGTTCATATGACAAAACCTGAAGCAAACAAAAGAACAGAGTCGTACAAAGGCAGAAACACAGATCTTGCTTTATCCCAGTGAGCATTTCTTTTTCTGTACATTTGGCCAACATGGCCACACAGCAGAGGCACTGAAACATGCATACATGGCTGGCAGTTATGCCAGTGAAAGTAGCGGCAGTTAAATAACCCATGCACCCCATATGACAGCAGTCAACAAGGAGAGAGGCTTTGGGGGAACCACATGGCATGGGCTTTGGGATGTACCCATTGCAGGCCTTGGGTGTCTTGCGTTCTGCTCATAGGCGTTCACACTCTTGTGGGTGCCCCTGAATCCTTGTCTTTCTGCTGTACATGCTGATCTGTGCTGCATGCTTTCCAGCTGCACTCACAGACTTGCACACTGCTTCGAAACATGGAAGAATATCACGCATGAATTTGTTCAGCAGGGGCTTGCCCTCTGAGCGAAATGATTTAAATTTCTTACAACGAATCTGACATGGGGTAGTGCCCTTGTGTTTCGTCCAAGCCAACTGATTCAGATTGACGGCGCCGCAAACAAAAGACAGATTGAGTTGTAGTGGAGCTTCAGCCCAAATGTGAGTGTACGATCAATCAATGACAAGCAGTGATGATCCACTCCTCTGTTTGTGGTGTTGTCCGCCACTCTGGTTTTGGCATTCTAGGTCTGAGAGAAATTGGCAAACTGTGGAGCCAACAGCACTTCCGATTTTGGTTCCTTCCCACATCCATCCCCATGGCACTCTCTAACAAGCTCATTTCGTAGCAACTTGGCAGAATCTTGTTTAGGTCCCTCTTGAACTGATCTGGGGCATCCGTCAGGGGCCAGCCACCCGTCCGTGACCAATCCCGTTGGTGACCAATCCCCGCTGCGGAGTTTCTTGCAACTTACCAAGGCGCGTCCTCATCTTCAATCACGGTGCCCACCGGCAGCCGCCTCCATTTCTTGCAGCCTTTGTTGTCGCACTGCACCCAGAGGTCTTCGGCAGGCTCCATTGCCGCCACAGGCGCTCAGCCCGCCTGTCGCAATCAATACACCCCCAGCCGCTTTCACAGTTCACACGATGACCACCATCCCATGGCTGCTGATTTGGTGGGATAGCGCGCATTTCCTGGACGGTAATCCGGTGACGTCAGAGTCGTAGCGTAACTCTGCTGCTGCTCGCACCCTGCGGTGTGCCCGATGCTCAGCGTGTTTGAGCCCCACTCGCCTGTCTTGTCGCCGGTGTCCGCGGTTTGTTGTCATGGTGTCCGAAGACTGGATATCCAGGGCCATCCAGGCGGGCAGGACGTATGAGCAGTTGCCTGCCAGGGTGCGCAGCGCGCTGCCCATAGGGGAATGGAAAGCAAGGTGGGCTCCACATCGGTCTTTTCTCTGGATCAAGACCATCATCAGTTGCGATTGCGGTTGCGAATTCTTGCTATGTGATCCTGATGAAAGTGTGATCATGTTTTGAATAAGTGCCTGTCGCGTGGAGCGGCCCAAACACATCAGGGAGGACGCAAAAGCCATTGCTATGCTTGATGCAACAGGTGGACGTTGGCTGCTGAGGCGTCATGGTGGACATGAAGAACGCACGTGGTTGTGTAGTTATACGTTTATGCATTGTTGGTTTTTCATGTCCTTGTGTAAGCAGAAAGTTCATTTTCTGTGATTGTGGATTTGAGATGCTGGGTTGAGGTGGCACTTTTGTTGTGTCCCAAGGGTGAAGGACCATTGCATCCAACACGGGTATGCATGGGGGGAGAGTCCAGCAAGTACAAGCTGTGGTGAACAAGAGTACTACGAGGATTTGCTCGCATACTACAAGCAGCATGAATGGGTCAGTGCCCCCATGTGATTCTTTTCAGGTGGCATGGGTTGCTCAGCTCCTCCTTTTTCTCCACAGAAGTTTACATCGGACAATTGAACTGAGCTTCTGGTTGCACTGCCGAAAATGATGGGTATACGATTTGTTGGACTTGATTGTAAGGATGCCTTTGACTGTCTCTCCAGACCACACTACGCCACTTTGCTTGAAGTTGTTTTGTGGTTTGCTTTGCAGAAAATGAATAACCTTGGTGTGCATTGGCATTGCAGCTTTTCCCATATCACTTGGCAGGCTACATATGTCGAGTTCTGCGCACCACAGCCTTCCGTTACTATTTTGACACGCTCTATGCAAGCCTGAAGGAAGAGCGTGCGTACGACAGGATTCCGAATTTCGCAGTAAGTGAGTATCAACGCAGCTAACAGGGATTGCTGTTGTTGTGCTTCATCACCAGCAGGAGCTCTGTTGAGACCCACATGTGGCATCTCCCAAATCAGCGATCTTGCAGACAGAAGAAAGCAGGTCATGAAGCAGGCATGCCACTGTTGTGAAAGGATGACTACGGTTCTATCCATGTAGTGGGAAATGATGCAGCAGTCTTGTTGCGCTTCAAGATAACCATGTGACTAGACTCTGGATACAGTGACAGAGTATCAGAGCAGGTGGTGGCAGGCAGCTTAGAGCAGGTGTCAGCGTGTTGACCTGCTAGTTTCCTATTGTCCATTGCTGCAAGGACATATCAGATTCCCTTCTCTTCAGAGCCATTAGTTTATACTGAAAACACAGAAGGTGCCACATTACCAAGCATCCTCAGATGTGAAACCCTGCGATCTTGTTCATCAACCCTGTTGTGTTCCTTGGGTCCAATTCCCACTTGTTGGGTTGGTGTTCTTCAGTCAATGTGTTCTCCAGTCAAAATGTTCTTGAGTCAATGTCTTCTGTGTCTCCTGCAGGCAGCCGATATAGTTCGAAAGCTTGGCATCGGCCGCAATGAGTACATCGCCATTCTGGATTCCTGCAAGGCAAAGAAGCTTCTCTGGAGGGTGAACAAGGGCATTGCAAAAGAAATGCTGCCCAGTGAGCCCCTGAACATCCCACTGGAACCTTGGTGGAAGGTTTCAGTTGTGAATGTAAGCAGATGCCTAGAAGAGCAAAATGGAAAACGCATTTCATGCACCAACACTAACAAGCCATGCCTTCCCTTTCATAAGCTGTGTCCGCTTCATGGTGCACAACGGAGATGCTGCTTGTTGGCTTGCCTGTTGACATTGCTGGTTGGCCGCCTTGACCAACCAACCTCACTGTCAATCCTGCTATCCAAGTGGCTCAAATGGGAGTCTGCCTTCCTGCAGACAGGCTTGCTGTGCGCAATTGCAGTGCTGCGGATTGCAGATGGGTACCAGGTCTGCAGCCACACGGAAGACATGGATGGACACAATGCCCACCGGTATTGTCTATTCTGCAGGTGAGCGAGCCTGAATTCCGGGTTTTGTCTTCGAGCGAACTGGATTTGCTGCAGGGGGCTTGTCAGCCTCAGGGCGTTACAGTCAGCGAGGCTGATCAGACAACATTGAGGAGCCTATACAAGCGTGGGCTCGTGTACTTCACTGTGCCCATTAAGGAAGATGACCACTTTACCATACCTCCACTGGAGGTAAGGGTGGGGTTGTGACATGAAAGGATGCAGGCATGACAAAGGCCCACTGCGCTTGCGATGATGCAGAAAGAATGTGTCCCATTCTATGGGATATTTCTGGGGTGACATGCAATATGGTGTCTGTTCTGTTTGGTGGAAACCGATGAACATTGAAAAGGAATGGGCACTTTGTGGCTGACAGGCTGCTGTGTGAATGTTTGGGGATTTCTTTTGCTGCATATGTCTTTACTGCCTGATTGGTGCATCCTAAGGACAACTGCACCTGAATGACAACACAAAATGTGTGTCACCACTGCACCTGTGAGTTGTGTCTGCAGAATTAGTTCTATGTGGTGCAGCACACATTGCATTTATGATCCCCAGGATCATATGTTGTGCACTAGGTGCCCTGTCTTAGCATCTGCTCTATAGTATATCCAGCAACATCCTTGTTTGTGGCACCTTGCATTGTGCTCTAAATCAATTGAGGTCACGTGTTGTTGGAGTGAGCATGCTGCCAGTCGGAAACCAAGAGGCATGGTCTGTGGCTCTGTCAAACAGGGTTTTGTGTCCAACAAGAACACAGTGCCAGGCGAAGGTGTGGATCCAATGGAGTCACTGCTGTACTCCATTTTTGTTGCCAACAGCGAGAGCTGCTCTGTTGGAGACTTGGCTCGCGTTCTCAATGTCAACGTGTCCCAGGTTCAGGCAGCCATGGGTGTTGCATGCCGCCTTGGTTTTGTTTCTAGGGTGCCCAGGGATTCAGATAAAGGTGCGGCGCGCGGTTGTATTGCACAGCTTTTCAATTTTGAAAAAAGTTGCCATGTTGATATTCTACAAATACGAGCAGTCGAGTTGTGTGCAATCAGGTGCGCCCTGTCCTAACAGAAGGTATTGGCTTGCTTCTTCATGTCGTGATGTCCTTTGCATCAACGAAATTTGTCTTGACAGTGAGTTGTGAACTCTTGTGAGTGGTGCTACTACCAGGTCGGACGTCGATCGTGGTGCATGCCAAGTGCACCTCCATGTGCAACTCAGTTGTGGATGGCCAGCAGAAAGCTAATGGTGCTCTTTTGCATGACATGCCATTTGCTGAAACTGTATGGGCTCAACGTGCCAGTGCAGCCACAGAGCAGGCTCAGCTACTGGGCTCTGCAGCTACTGCTGCTGAGAAACATGCCAGTGGCATTTTCTCCATGTAGGTACCAAACGTCAACACGTATGTCACTCTTGTCTGCTGCCTCCAGTGTGATTATTCTTTTAGCATTGCTCAAACTCGAGTGGTTCCCGTGTCATGTTATCAAGACTGGCATGAACATACAGGAAGAGTGCTGATCCATTTGACTGCTATGAACACAACATGGCATGTCATGCCATTGGCAGTGTTGCGATGTGGGGTACTCACTGGTGGTTCACACACATAGAAAACGCGGCATCTTGTTCTGTCGTCCTGTACTAGGACTCCTATTTCCACAATTATATGTGTCCAATCGTTGTCTTGTGCATTCTTCAGATGGAGCAGCACCTTCGTATGACTCTGTGCCTCTTCGAGATGACGACGAAGAAGTTGATTCCTCCAGCGCAAAGACACAGGACTCGGGACACAGAAAGGACAACACCAAGCCAGAGGAAGGCTCAGCGGTGGCCCTCATCGTTGATGCAGAGACGACATCATACTTAATGATGGGAGCACTATCACCAGGTTGCTGCATAATGCGTAGCTGTTTCCGCACGATTGCAAACACGCAAATTTCCCACTCGTTCTAGCAGCATGTCGTATGGGCATGCGTTGCCTCTTTCCCTGCATGGTTGGCAGCGGTGTTGACTGCGTGGGTTGGATGGAGTGTTCAAATTTTGACAGTGCAATCTACTGCACAAAGGCGATGTGCCTGGAGAAAGTGCAGGCTGCCTCCTGGGCCAATCACGTTTTTTTGCTGGTTGTGTCATTGCCACTGAAGGTGTTTGGGAGTATACTTGGGTTCCACTGTCTCTCAGCGCAAATTTGCTGTTCTTTTCGGAAGCGCATGGGTGCCTCCACGAAGCTTTTCTCTTTATGCAGCATGTTATTTCTGCGCTACACTAGAAATTTGAATCAGGGAATCAACATGGAAGTAGAAATAAAGGAGAGGCCACAGCAGGCCACCCATCGCTCTTCAGCCGCCATCATCAACACCCGAAAAGTATTGGTGAGCTCATGTTTGATTTGCCACATTGTCTGGATTGTCGCATTCCCTTGTCGTGTTGCTGATGATGGATATGTCCAGCTGTGAAGAAGCACGCCGTCACCCTCTTCGAAGGGGGCAGAGTAGCTGGCGATGACACCATTGAGGAGCTCATATCTGAGCTTCGGCTGTCGGCCAGCGCGCATGAGCAGCTGGGGGGCGAGATGGTTGAGTTGACACAACACACCACGGCATTGGTTACGGCCCTGGATTGCGTCAAGGTTGGCCACCACAAACACGCCATCGAATCTCGCTGTCGCTGGGACTTGAATTGATCAGTGTCACGCTCTACATGGGTTTGATGATGGACCATGGCGGCCTTGCTTGGATGGAGTCCCTTGTCCTACCATTGCCCTCTGATTAGCAGTGCTGCATTTAGGCGCAGTCGAGGTCGCTGGCATGCGCTAGATGGTGTGGATGGTGCGTAAACAGGGCCCGCTGTTGGTTGAACGAGCGCTTTGCGCATTCCTGTCATTCAGGAGCTTTGCCCAATTCTGCTCTGCGGTGCTTTGGTATGCATCGAACTGTGGTGCCTGGCCGTACTTGCTATTCTAAGCGATCGGGCAAACTTGTTTCCCCTTTTGGGGACCAGCCGCTAGGCCAGCAAATACATTACGAGAAGATGATTGCTCCGGCGGCATTCTCATTTGAACATCGTCGCTTTTAATGTCACGGGACCGTGCCACGCAATGCGCACTCCCTTTCTGGGCGAGATTTCCACGTGCTGCATAAATTTCTGCAGAAGCATCTGTGCACGACGGGAATGACACTTCACGAGGCATTGTCGCTGATTGTAGGTCTTGGATGGCATATTGGGCGAATGGGCAGCGCTGTGCCACAATCTCGGTGGATGCAGTGAATGAGAATTACACTGCATGCAGGCCGCATCTGGGGGACGCTCCATCGAGCTGCTGAGGCGTGAATCTCTGGCGGGATTGTCTCATGGGGCCATCCACCGCGTCCTCAGCCACGCCTACAAGGTTGTTGTGCCCGTGGCCCCGCTGCCCGGGGAGGTCCTGCCCCTGGGGTTTGAACCTGAGGAGGGGAGCTCTCCAGGGCCAGTCTTTTTTGGACCTGCAGGGCCGGTGTCCTCCCCGTGGTTTCAGCTGGCTGTGTACACCGTCGTTGGAGCCGGGCCAGTCTCCATGGTGTTCTTGCACGGGCAGGTGAGTCTCGCCGCCTGTTCCCACGCGATTGGATTGGGAAGCTTTTGCTGTTCTGCACATTGTCTCTCGGGCGGTTGGAGTACACAAGCACGATTGTGGAATGGGTGAGATATTACGGAAGTGCCAGGTCGCCGGATTCAAGAGGAAGCGACGATTTTGATTGACTGTGTTGTCCAACATTCTTCGCAGTTGCCCTTCCTTTCATCACCTGGATATGCGGATGAATTGTTTGGGTCTCTCGCCGATGCCTGTTGGGCGAGGCTGGCCAGAGGTCCCCCACAGCAACATGGATGAATACACGCAACAGAGACTGGGGACAGCAGTCCAGCGCTTGGCATTGGAGCACGATGTCTGTCCCACCTTGAACTATTTGCGTGTGCTCTGATGTACAGCGCCTCCACAAACTCCCCGGCCCGGCTGCAAGCTGCCGTTCCGCCTTCGTTCGACCCTGGGGGGCGCCTCCTGATTCGGCGCTCCTGGTGTCTCAACCGTTCCTCATCTTCTATTTGAATGAAATGCTGCGGAAGGGAGCTGTCGTGCTCCAGCCGTTGCTGGCATGCGAGCGCGAAAGAGCACAGGCACTGGAGGGTGGAAAATTGGATGATCTCGGTTTGGTAGACATTCCCTTGCCGTTCGTTGTTCTGGAGACGGAAGAAAACAAGAAGTTGGTACAAGGCAAGTAGCTATGGACTGCGCGCACCCTGGCATCTCGATCCACCTGGAAAGCTCGTGCGGCATGGAAAGAAATGGGAGCAAGGGGCCCAAAGCGAACTCTCGACCGTCAGGGGAGGGGAACAAGGGGTGGACACGCTCTCCTTCCCACAATTGCCCGTAACCCTAATCCCGCACCACCCACCCATACCCCCGGGGTTGGGTTTTTACTTTCTTTAGTGGCGTTTCTCGTGGGCTGTGGACTGGGGGTTGCTGTGGAGAGCGGAATGCAAATGGAGAGCGGAATGCAAGGCTGTTTTCCAAACGTGTGTAGATACTGTGTGCGTTGCATTCAGCCGCTGCTGCGGCACCTGCGCAAGTGCCCTTTGCAGTATGTGTCGGATAGCCAGTGATTATTACCCCCGTGTCATGGAGAACTCATGCCGCCTGGCCAAACACCAACAATGCAACTCCGTGTGTGTTCATTCCCAGGATTTGAACGGCCGTCAGGCAAGGCGGTGGAACTGAATATTCCACTGGGGTTGGAAGATGCTCTCCATGCATGCGGATTGGACAGCTCGGTGGGCTTTGTCAAAATGATAGACGCCTCCTGGCTGGGAAGCAGCAGTGGTATGCCTTCTGACAATTTTTGTTGCCGTTCGCATTAGCGATGAATTAGTTCTGACCCGTTGAATGTCTTGAAATTGAGAACAACTCCTGGTTGCATCAAGGACGTGGAGTTGGAAAGGCAATTGCACGCAGCGACTGGCACTGGTTGCCTTGCATGCATGCTCATGTTGGGCGGCCTCAAGGTGCAACACTTGACAGAGTCATGGATGTGCGTCTGATGATTGTCTCAAAAACATTAACCTGAAGGCGACCTGAGCAGCACTGTCAAGTGCATGGCAGATGTGTCGCTTCGTGCGGAAACGGGGTTGCCCTCATTGTTCCTGCAGGTGAATGGCTTCCACTTGAAGTCCATCTTGGGCTGCCACTCCACTCCGTGGGTCTCTGCAAGGCTGTCTGCGACTTGGCGACAGAAGGCATGCTGTTCGACGCGCAGGGGCGCGACGTGCAGATCAAGTCTCAGAAGCAGAGGGTTGCCATTGCAGACCGGCTGATGGGCGCCTTCGGCGGCGGATGGGGCGGGGCGGGCACCTTGGCGGGATCCTTGCCGGCCACCAACTTCATGTTTGACGGCAGCAAAGTCGTACGTGCTGACTTCTCGTCGTGCATCCAGGGTAGTGGAAGCCACAGCGCGGGGAACGAGGTCGCGACATCCATGCAACCCGGAGTTCGAGTGATGTGAATGGGATGCTGATCAACGAATGTGAGACTCTGATGCTGTGCTGGCTTTCTTGGAAACGAGGTGTAAGCTTGCCAAACATTGTCCTTCCGGCAAAGTGTCACGCGAAAAGTGTCACACACGGCGCAGCTTTCCCGTGTGAACCAGGTGTTAACTATCCCGTGCTCCTGAGAACGGCAAGCGAAGGTGTGGATGCGCCAGTGTATGATCTGAAATCGCCGTTCACGCCACGTACAGATGCGCAGCTATGCTGATTCCCCACACGGAAAGGCACTCGTCAAAACACGCAGATTATGGGACCACCACCAATGCGGCAGATGCCTTCCAACATATGCACCCCATCCCCAACGTGCAGCAGGCTTACGCACTTTGTCGTGACACATGAAATCATGACCATAGTAACATATTTCCTTTCCATGTTCGTGCCGACAAGCGAGTTCCGCGATGGCGAGCATAACTGCTGCCACCAAGCTGTGTTTCATGCTAAACTGTTCCCATTTCAACTGCAAGACAAAACAAACCACGCTGTGGAAGCTAGAACAGATCCCCCCACTGCCCCAACCACAGCCATGGCATGCATCCTGCACACTGCACTACTCGTACCCACGACCCATCTGCACTGTTTCATCTCACGCCGACAGCAGCAGCATCCCACTGAAAATCCTCCGCAATGTACCAGACCGAAGACAACAGGCCTGCATACAGTGAGTCTAACAAACAATATGAACTACAATACGCACACCACTGTGTCTGCACCGAAGAAGTACCTGACATGTTCACCAATTTGTCAAACTGGTTCTCTGCAGCCAGCAATGCCTTCTGCCCAGGAAACCATCTGAATGGGACCAGGTGCCTGACTGATGGGAACAACGCACATCCTGCCACAGAAACGCGACGGTCGACTTCTTTTCTTCTGTGATTGTTTAAGCTCCCTCGTACCCTCGCCGCTAGCTACAAATTCTGCACTAAAGTCAACATCTGATGCAACAAACCATAACTGTGCTGACGTAGGATGTGCCCCACTTGCATTTCACCTGATATTCCACAGACGCAATGGTGTGCTTTGCCCCCCTTGCACTTCTGCTGTGCTCCCTTCCTGCACCTGCACTTCTAAACAATTATGTCCAAACCCTTAGAAGCTTGCAGCTTTTCCAAGCCCAGACTGGTAACCCGAAAATTGTTCTTAACATTGAGTTGCTTCAAGGAGGGAAAGTCGACGATCGCTTCAATGCCCACGTCCGTGATTCCCCAACAATCCTTCAGTGACAAGTACACCAGCTGTGACAGGCTCTCCAGCGCCGTCAAGCCTGCGTCACTCACCCGGAAGCAATGCTCAAGGCTGAGGTGGGTCAGGCACTGCAAACCAGAGAAGGACGCTAACCCTGCGTCTGTTATCGCCCAGCAATCCTTCAAATTCAGGTATCTCAACCGGTGCAATTTCTCAAGGCAGGAGAGGCCTGCATCTGATATTCTGAAGCAATGCTGCAGGTTGAGACACTCGAGCGAAGTGAAAGCGGTCACCAAAAGAAGCCCAAAATCCGTCACGCCCCAGCAGTCCTTCAAGTTTAGGTGTGTCAGGTTTTTGAACGTGGTGATGGCCTCCAAGCCCCCATCTGTTACCCTGAAGCAGTGCTCCAGATTGAGGTGCCTGAGGTTTGTGAGGGTTGTGCATGCCATAAGCCCTGCATCAGTTATTCCCCAGCAGTCTTTCAAGTTGAGGTGAGACAGCTGTGACAGAGAGCTCAGCATGGAGATGCCTGGATCAGTGATCCTAAAACAGTGCTCCAGGCTCAGCTGGTTGAGGCCGTCTAGATTAGTCAGGTGCAGGATTCCCGAGTTCGTGATCCGCCAACAATCCTTCAGCACAAGCTCTGACAGGTTCGACATGCCTTCCAGGTACGCCAGTCCATCATCTGTCAGCCTTGCACACCTCTCCATGTTCAAGTGCAGGAGGCGGCCCAGGGACGAGATGGTCGCAAGGCCAATGTTCGTGATCGCCCTGCAATAGGACAGATTCAGATGCTCCAGAGACTTCAACTTCCCAAGGGACTGCAATCTGGCGTCTGTCAGTGCTTTGCATGATCGGAGGTTCAGATGCTGCAGGGTAGTGATGCCCAATAGGCTACTCAGGGCATTGTCACTCAGTTGGATGCTTGGATGGCTCAAGTCCAGGATCCTCACGTTCTGAAACTTCGACACCAGGCTCCTCACAGCCCCATCCACATCAAAGTAATCCGACTTGCGGCCCAGCATCTGCATGATCCGATGGCGCACAGGCATGGGCCTATGTGGGTCTTGAGGCGACTTGCACTTCACGTCCCCTGGCATTGATGGCCTCAGGGCCCTGAGCGCCATGTTCGAACCCTCATGCCAATTTCTGCACACAAGCCTCAGACTGCCTATAGACACGCCCTCTTCTGCCAGGGCTTCCAAAAGGATGTCGAATATGTCCAATGGTAAGTGGCTCCAGTTGGTGAAAGAACTCAATGTGGGTGACACCTACACAGCACAGACATCTTCACTGGCTCAGGGATGCCTGAACACCAAGATGCAAACTGCAAGCACACCACAACAGTTCTGTGTACTGGGCAACGGTGATGCCCACACAGTGCCAGTTGTGCACTGTTGGTCTCTTGCATGCTCCTACTCTTTACAGAGGCATTGGGTGGCGCCGCTTCACATTCTTGATGAACCTGCAAAGACTTGCTGACTTACCATTGTGCATCGACAAAAGGAGGGACTAAACCCATTCTTACACATGCCCCCCCATCTGTGAGCACACTCTTACATTGGGCAATGTGCATCCTTCCGTAGCAGTCAGGATCCACAATAGGTACAACAAAAGATGAACTGCAACACATTTCACCATTGACACGACATGATAGAACTAGTGACCTCAACGAAGGCATATTAGCAAGCACTGTGCCACACATCATTGACCAAATTGTTCAAGATTGGCCATGTTGACCATCTGCACCAGAAATGGCTGCAGCAAGCAATACCTGAGTGCGGTGTTCCTTCTCAACAACTTCTTCATCACCTTCCCCATTGAAACAGCCCAGTTTGATGTTTCTACACAAACCCAGTCGCCTGCGAGAACTTCCAGCTCTTGGTTCATGAGCCTTGAACCAACACAGAAAATGTGGTCAACCACAGCCAACCATATCCTTGAACAAATACCCAGCGGTTTCCTCCGCAATTTCAGTGCTGTGGTAATTCAGCCCTCAACGCCCCCAGTTCCTTGCAGCCGGAGGTTAGAACAAACCTAAACCAAAATGCAGTTCTCTGACAGGGTGGTGTGAGCCCATGGTTAGTGGATAGGAATGACAAGGCGCACATTGTCATGACTAGTAACAGCACCATTCACCGCTCGATTGCTCCAATTTCTTGTTCGTGCAACAAGGTTACATAGCTGGAGGAATTCCACAGCAGCAGTTTGTTCAGCTTTTACTTCAGTTTGAATTTCTACTGCAGGTGATGTTCACATGGACCAGACATCTGAGTGTGCTTCTGGTTAACCAAACAACACCACTTGTTTGCCACATACGGCAGTACCCTGGACAGTTGCTTCGCAGAATGCTAACTAAGCGGGCACAATCACATCACAACATAGATGCAGAGCCTACCATCATTGCCATGTTTGATCAACTGAGGTGCCTGCAGCTTCCAATCAAACCTGCATTTCAATCCCTGAGCACTGACCATTCCCTACATGACAAATGCAACCACCCACCTCCTTTGAGCGTGTAGATTTTCGTTCCACCTTGCCTTCCCTCCTCCATCCTGAGAGCGCTCGCCTCAATTCAAGCAGCTTTGAGGCGATCTGCGGACACAGCACCCCCCTCGTCAGTATTGCCTTGTGTGTTGGCCAAACTCTGCCTGAAAGCACTCCGACCCCAGCAGGGAAACAACATGTGCGTTGCTCCTGGGGATGAATGAATTGTGCTTTGCTACAGACTTTCATTAACAAAAGGACATGCCGAACAGCCCATTTAGATCTCTTCCCTTGCAGCCCATAACCTGCCACCCCTCTGGTGCCCATGCAGGACCGCCATCCGTCACAAGTCCCACGGGGTGGGAAGAACGACCGCCACGCCCTAGGTGACTAACGCTGGATGTTCGCGGCGCTCACCCCTTCCGACGTAGACAACTGTTCCCGCCTCCACCGACGCCGCACCCGGATCAGCAAATCATTGGTGTCGTCAGGGAAATCCCCTCCTGTGCCCTTTGCCGGTGTATCCGCCTGCACGCAGGCAACCGACCCTCAGGAAATGATTCAAACGCACAGCCGCGGGCGCAAGGCGTCGGGTGCTGGCTCTGTGGCTGATGAGCGTCTCAAGTGCACTGGGCGCCAAACTGAGATGCCGTAACCGGCGGGGCGGTGGCCAAGGCGTGACGGGACAAAATCGGGGCCAATGCCGCGTCAAAGACGTCGACACCCGAAACGTGCGAGGACACCTTAGGACTGCACACACGGGTCAAAGGGCCCCGCTTTCGGGCAACCATCGGCGGCCTTCCGTCGACGAATCGGGGGGCAGCACCCGGTGTCGGCAACCCCTTTGACACAGTAGATTACGCAATCCCAATCCGGGTGCGCAGCGGACGGCCCGCGAGGCCCCACTTCCCGCGCAGATTGCCTCGCGACGTCTGGGGCCGACGGCACGGGCTGTCGGCAAAGCGCGTGAGCCCGCCGTCCTGGGTTCCGACGACGCAGCGCATGCCGTAATTGAACCACCAATCCACATTTGCATAACTGAAGAGTGTGGCGCATGCCGGGAAGAAAGCCGCCAGACCGCTGCCGACGCGCGACGCTCGAGCCCATCCCCACCCGCCACCCCGCCCCCAACGGCAGGACGGCGTTCCGTTCATCGCCGCCTGGCAAGTTCGACAGCGGCGGCACCACGTTGGTCGACCCCTCACCAGACGGATTTCCCTGCCCGTCTCCAAATCTTGAAAAACGACGACCTCGGTGTCCAATGAATCCATCCTGTGCAGGCCGACCTGCCGGAGGGGCGCCGCGGGAGCTTGCGGCGCTGCGTTTTGCGAGGTCCGAGCGCGGGCCGCGCTCCGGCTGGCGGCAATGCGGCCCAGTGGCATCGGGCGCGCAGCCAAGGGCGCGAAGCAAGGATCGGAACTGCGTTGCTGGCGTCGGCTGCCGCGCAGTGCGGAGAGGAGGCGGTCGGCGTGGCCGGCGACAGGGACCGAGGCTGGAAGCACGGGCCCGCTTGAGGGCGAACGGGCCCGTCAAACCGGCCAAAGTGCAAAGGGAATTGACGGCAAATGGCCACTGGTCGCCAAGGTGGCGCGGCATTGGACGGGGGGAGCGCAGCTCGATTGGTTGACGCAGAGGGCGACAAGCGAGCGAACGGATGTGGGCCGCCGTGATGGTTCTCTCAATGCACGCAAATGACAAGCCAAGATCGTCAAACCCTCAATCAGAAAGAATGCAAACACCATATGTAGGTGCCGGTACCCTTCGGTGGGTAGCACAGCTGCCGGCACACTCGCTGATGCCCGGCGGAGGTCACGCGCTTGAGTCAGGCCCTCGCGGCCAGAGTCGGACATGGTCAGAACCCCGAAGCATTGATTAAACGAGTGGCCCACTTCATATAGGCGTGTACTCGATGGTACTGCCCTCGAAGGTGTCCCCGTTGACGGACAACACTCTCCGCTGCGAGTCCAGCCATGACACACAACTATGACATGCTTGTGAGTTCCGACTACAATGAAATCCCGCGAACTCCCACAGAACATCCTAACCTCTTCAAATCTCACCAACCTGGCACCGCTTTCCCCCGTTCCTACCTCTAAGCCACCCTACCTGAACCCGTCCTATTGCGGCCCATCGGCAGCTGCTAGTTTGTGGAGGCTCTGGGGTCGCCCTGCCCTTTAGCACAGCCGTTTGAGGTCGGCCGGCCTCTCCACCTCGGATGGTGGGCGTAATCGGGGCAGTCGATTCGGCGGTCGCGCGGTGGGCCCAATGCTCGATGGGGATCGATCCCCCGGGCCTGCTGTTAGCGAGAGGTGGCGGCGTAGCAAGACGGTGGTTTGTTGGCTAGCGGGAGGCCAAAAAGTGGGTCAGAATAGTTACATTTCTGCCGGGCCGGGCTCCTTGTCCCACCCAGCTCCACACACACACTGGACCAATACATTACAAAAGACGATTGTTTGTCCCAATACAACCCGAGGTACCCACAACTTGTGTGCCCAGTCGCTTTGCTAGTAGTTAAGCCAGTCCCATACATGACTCAACCTCTGAGTCAGTCCCACCACTTCTCGTTCCCTCGTCCTTAACTCCCACACTTGCCCAAGTCAACCGAACATCACCCTAATAGGGGGGGCCAGGCTGGAATCCAAACAAGATAAGGTGGGGACCGAGGGGTGAGCCTAATATTAGGGTGAGCCCAATATAAGTAGCCTCCCCGCTCACGCCCGCCAAAGCCCGTCACTCCCAAGGGCGCCAAAAACCACTGGCCCTTCTTGAACACGACGAACTGGCCACTGATCCAAGGTACAGGGAGACAAAAACCCCAAGGGGCCGCCAAAACCCATATACTTAAGCAGCGCTGGTCTGAATGGGCCAGCGCGCCTGCCCCTCGTCGCCCTGGGCGGAAACCTATTAACAAGATAGTTAATCCCATGATTCATAGCATGCGCGCGCACAAATCCGCATGCGCAATGCATGATTGCGGGTCCATCGTTGTCTAGAAATGGCCACCCGGATCCGTTAATAGCGGATAGAGGTTAATTTCCGTTAATTTTCCGTTAATTAACGGAAAATAACGAAAAAAGACAAAAATTAACCAAAAATTAACGGATTTTGGATTTTTGGGGGATTTTTGGGTTTTAGTCACATTTATAGTTTATGGAATTCGCTATTAGAGAGTATGTTTGTATTTTATTTCAACCTATAACTCCCTTCCGTTCAAAATGTCCCATTGCGCCACGCTACAAACCTATTAGGTAGCATATTTGCACAACGTCGATCCCACTATCGTGGAATATTGTTTCAATGTTATGTTATTAATTTCGCTGTATTTGGGCTGGTGCTGGCGTCACCCGCCACCATAATTATTATATAGATCTCGGCATTTTTGATGCCTAAGCTTGCAGTTTCGCGGCAGAACCACAAGTGACGGTGTTGAAGGTGGCAGCGTGAGACATAACACTTCCATCGCATTTGTGATTGTCTGCCGCTAAAGTTTCCTACAGGTGCGGTTATGTTACAACTCTTTGACATAAAATGGCTGAAGTATCAAACCTGACGAACGAAGGCGGTAGTACATTGTAATGTTGGCAGCCAAGTCACTGGCGGCTCTGGCAGCCTACTTGCGGTTCTGCCATGGCGGAACCGCATCAACTGGCTAAACGTTGGTTACGGCCTGGTGCCCGCCACTGGATGTGAACCTGCCCCCGCGACTGCTCCCCAAGGCTTGGTGTCGGCCAAGCGAGAACTTGTATGCATCACAAAGTGGGAAGAGGAGATAAAACACACATGGCAACTTTAGCCCAAGGATATTACAAGTTTGGTACCACCCAAGAAGCATTCGTATACAACAATTTGTACAACATCTTTGAAAGATGGTTAATCCCCGCCAGGATCTATGGAATGAAGGCGGGGAAGCTCCCGCCTTAGACACTCCCGCCAACATGGCCATAAGTGGCCATCTCCTCCCACCCACTGCTCATTCACCACTGCCGTCCAAGGGATGACCTCCTTTTGGCCCGTAAGGAACCACGGGTTGTTTAGTTGGACTTCTTCACTGATGAAGGAAGGGTTGTCAGGGTCGCATTTCTCCACAACGCCTTCACAAGCGTAATACTGCACTTCAAAGTGGCGCACGTCATATCCGTTTTCTTCACTGGGGTCGAATACCCTGGTGACTCTGGCGATGTCAAACACACGGGCCCAGGCATCGGCATCTTCGTCTGCCATCCGAATGGCGACAGTCACCCCGGGGGCAACGTCGTGTTCCGGTCGGAACGGTCTCACGTCGGCAGGTCTTGGGGCCCTGTGTGAGTGACCAAAGAATATTGCACGCTCCCCTGGGATGAGGCCCACGTCCCTGTACAATGGGCGGGTAGAACTAGTCAGTAACCGGATGCCACATTGGCAATCAAACCACAACACTGATATGAAAGGTTGGATGTCACCAAAGGGGCAAATGGGAAGAAACATACAACATGCAGTAAAGACCAAGACCACGCAATGACAGCCCCCGGGGCAGAGATGCCATGCAGGCAGTGTGCTGAGGGTCATTTATACAAAGGCAGGGTGTGTGTGCACGACAGATGAGCTGACGGGCCCAATGATTTTTTTAAGGATATGAAACAATGTGGCAGAGGTGGTATGTTGTGCACCAAAACCATCACACCTTTCCACTACGGGCCCAAGCTCAGTGGTGGGCCCTTGACTAGGCACGGGCAGAAGGTCGTCCTCGTCCCCGCGGCCACACTCTGCCACCCTGAGGGATCCTCCCACTCGGTCGTCGACGTCCCCTTCCGGAAAGGTGGACCTGTGGTCCTCAATAAAGGTTTCCCACCACCGTATGGCGTGGACGTAATGCACCTTTAGGACGGTGGCAAGGCCCTCCTCGCCGGACAAACCAGCTGTGGAGGCAAGTAGGCTTCTGAGCTTGCCGACGAACTTCAGTGCCCTCTCTCGTATCCCAGCGAATTGTTGGAGCGGCGTCCTTGGCTCCAGAGATAGGCTATCGAAAGAGGGTATCACAGCATCCTCAAGGAACACTGGCCACCCGCCGCCCTCTGGCCGCCCCACCCAGGCCTGGCCGGGCAAGTCGTGTTCTCTACCGTACACCACAGGGCGGCCACTCTCCATCCGGAAGAGGAATGCATGGTAGCACC